GTGCGGCGCGGTGCGGTGCGGCGCGGTGCGGTGCGATGCGGTGCGATGCGGTGCGGTGCGGTGCGGTACGGTACGGTAGAGTGTCTCGCTCGTCGGTGCTTTTCGCGGTATATCGCGCCCTTCCTCTTCGCATTCCTTCGTCTTCGTTGCACTCTCGTGACGTAGCGCTCTACGCTCTTCGCGGCTTCCTTCCAATTCTCCTCCACCGGCATTCGGTGAACATCGAAGCCGAGCCGAGCTGAGTCGAGCCGAGCCGCGTCGGGGACACGTAGAGGTATCCACGTAGCGAGCGAACACGCAAACTGGCAGGCAGGCAGGCGAGGCGAGGCAAGGCGTAGCGAGGCGAGGCGGCTTCGCGTAAACCGCAGTCGACCAAGCGCGACCGACAGCTTCGCCAACACTCCACGGCACTACCTTATATTCCTTCTCGCCCCGTGAAAACAAGATAAAGAGCCGACCGGCGAGCTGATGGACGAAAGAGCGCCGCGGACCGCGGTTGTGGATGCCTAGCGAGAGGGATAGACTCATCTGGCGAGCACCGCGTTGAATCGCGCAAAAAAGCGCACGATTCACGCGATAAACGGCACCGCCATACATTCGTGCCATACATTCGCGCGCGCGCCGCGCTTCGTCGCGTATTTATTATATTTCATTAGGAAAATCTTTCTGTCTCCCTCCTCTCCCTCCCTCCCTCTCTCTCTCTCTCTCTTTCCTTTTTCTCTCGGTCTTTCGCACACGTCGGTACGTGTCAGAAGTGTATGGGGGACTACGTTTCGCGCATACACGTACGCGTATTACCCATCCCGCGTTCCACGGAGCATGACAATGGGCTTTTCTAATCCTCCTTTGGATTAAGGGTCGAAAGCGGGGATGGTTGCACGGCGCGGCGCGGTGAGGCGTGTAGCAACGGCGAAGCGTATGGCGCGGTAGGGCCCGAGAGAAAGAGGGAGGAAGAGAGAGAGAGAGAGCTCCAGGTAATGGGATCGACGTTTCGTTATGTTACTTTTCCATTCTCATCCTCGGCCTCTATACTCTAGTCGTCCCGGCCTCCTTTCCCGACCCATCCCACGCAACCCCGACTGCACCCAGCCTTCGATGTCTCGGTTCGTAGGATCCATCCTACAGCGCCCTCCATCTCCTCCTCTTCATCCTCCTTCCTCCCTCGGGTCCGTGTTTTTCCTCGTGTGGCCCCCTATTTTTCATGTTTCGCTGCGGCTTCGCGTAGCACCTTTATTCAGTATAGGTACGTTCTCTTGTAGAGGCTCGGGGGGGAGGGACAGAGCGAGCGAACAATCCGCGCGGACGTCACGTATGCGCGTCATCTGAAAAAGTTGCCACGCCATTGGCCGAGGTCGCGTTTTCATTCGACTCTTTGCCGCCGTCGAGTCGATCGGCCGCGTCAGACGGTAACGCGATTGGCCAAGTGTCGACTGGAGCGGCGCCGATTGGTCGAGGTTACGATCACGACGGCAGAGTCCACGCGGAGTCAGCGCCTTTACGAGGCGAGCGGACGATAGCGGCAATCAAGTAGGAAACTGCTTGGGACTGTGTGCCGCGCGATATTCACATAGGGGCACCCCCTTAGCACACACAATCGCGCGTACAGGATGGTACTCGCTACACACTCGTGTCCGTGTACACACACGTACGGCGCACGTACACACGAGGGTGAATACGAGCATACATATATATTCCGGTTATATCGCGTACGTGTGCACGTCGCGTACGTGTATGTCGTGTATGTGTATCCTCCCCCTCTCTCGCTCTGTCGCTTTATGCGGAGCTACGTTGTATAGGGGTTGGGAAAACGGGTGGAGGCGCCATATTTGTGGTAGTGTGGGAAGTGAGGGAAATCACGAGTGGCGAGAGAGGCAGCCGGTCGACAAGCGGGGAAACGAGGCGCGGGGAAAAGCGCGACAGGGGGATCGGGAGGGAAGAGGGGGCGAAAGGGAGTTTACGCGGACATCCGTGTCAGCCCGGTGACGGCCATTTTGCGAAAAACTTTCGATTTGTTTGCACACGCCGTAGCGAACCCGGAGGAACGACTAATACCGACGCGTATGCTCGGCATGCCGCGCCTCTCTCCCTCATCTCTCTC